GAGTTAATTAACCTTGAAAATGTTAAAGAATGGCAGCTACTAAGAAACGCTGCAATCCAAAATTTTAGCGACAATTTAGTGAAAAGTTTTGGAGTTTTGGGTTTCAGTACTGAAAAAAGAATATAATGATAATAAGCCAATATTTGAAAGAGTCAGTATATTTGCTATATAATTACTTTCTCTCCCTCATTCCTCTGCTAACGTCGGAAGATTATTTTCTCAAATTAATCTAATAAAAACCGATATAAGAAATTTAATTTTATCTGCTACTCTTTCTGGACTCATACAAACAAAAGAATACTTAAATGGTAAAAGTTGTTATATCTTGCCTATATCACAAGAGTTATTTAAACTGCATTCTAAAAATATGTATAAGAAAAACAAAGACTACGAAATGTTTAACTGATAAGTCTGAGACTAGTCACATTAGTGAGACTAAAGATTAAAGAAAAACACAAAATAACAGTAAGATATAATATTAATACTTGTAATTTTCCATTCAATAATGTTATTGTTAGAGGCAAAAAATCTCAGTACTCAATAATTTCCACCAAGTAAATGCCAGCTTTACATGCACGAAATAGTGTTTTTCTAGTATCTTTTGTCCTACAGAAATTATATAGGGTATACATCACATTTGAATAATTTAAATGTAATTTATTAATTGAAATCGCTCAAACAATTAAAGCGATGGGTTAATTGTTTTTCGGGAGCAACGCATAATTTCACAAATTATTTAATCAACGTATTCTGTACTTCTGGGATTTTCGAGTTTGAAATTCTAATCCTAATTCTAATAGCTTTAGTCCAAAATCCCACGTATGCATAATTAAGAAATTTGAATATAATATACTGTTGATTAAGAAATGTCTTCTTAATTCATTAGTATAGAATTCTCTCATTTCTCTAATAAATTAAATATAATAAATAAATAAAATATTTAAAATAATAATTAATTAAATAATTAATTAAATTTAATATAATTCTAATAAATAATTTTAACACATCTCATAACGTATCTATTTTACATTATATATAAATATATATATATATATATATCTCTTAACAAAATGTACGATTAATACGAAAATGAGTTCAACGTGCTTCTTTCTCAAGTAGATTATTTTCTATATATTGCTCAACCGACTTTAACAATTCATATCGCAAAAAAAGCGTGCAAGCGTGTAAATCAAGTGAACCCTAAAAAACTACACAGCTGTATAGCCTTTATGATATCGAACTTGTTTTTTCGCGTTGGATGCCAAATGCCAATGATCTTACCAGCGGTAAAAGATGCAAGTAAACGACTGCTGGAAATCGTATGGCATAAGTATCGAAACATGGAGCATTGTTACAAGCACGCGAGAGTTCTAGAGTGTGTTAAATTTTACACATGATGTGCGTATCACTTAATTCTTCTTCAACATTCAGTGAACAAAAATAAGGATAACTCATAGGTTAAATGGAGCGCACTCCCAAATCATACATACGGGTGATACGGGATATAAAACTGAAAAAGGGACTTACCGAAGTAGCTCTTATCTACTTCGTTTCCTCGGTTGTTGCGGCCGTTGCCCCACATCTTATTTGACTTCTTCGGCATTTTCTTTTTTGGTTTGGATTGCCTTTTTGTTTGATACGAATAAGAAGCCAAACAGCGGAAGGTCTTCAATAAAAAATCCAAAGTACAACCGATCACGTACACTCACGTACAAGCCTAACCTCACTTTTAAAGACTCGGATTAGCTATAATCACAAAAAACACCAGACATCCATTACTCAAGAGCGTCAGAGAACGAGTGGTCACGAAATACGCAGAATACGCTACGCGAGACATACCTAGCGACAAAAGCGCGTTGCGCGCATGCGCAGAAGCGACGTGGCAACAAAAGTAGGGACAGGTAGAGACGCCACACGATACAAGCTTTTCTGATTGGTTGAAAAATCCAGGCTCTAGGCCAGCTAGGCGCTAGACACTTTGAATAGTGCCAGGAAGCATTAACGTTCCTTCCAGTTCCTTCCCTGTATGTTTTTATGGTCAATTGTGGTACAGGACCTGAAATATGTAGATACACCCCTTTTCTTTTCCGTTTGGTGAGATTTTTTAATTCTACTGAATTAAAAATCAAATCTTCTGAATTAAAAATCAAATCTTTTCTTGCCGTAGCTTTCACAAAAAAAATGCATAACTTCGGACGGTGCATGTAGGGTGACTTAGAGGAGATTACAGCGGCCGCTGTAGCACATTTTCTTAGAAAAGATTTTTTTTGCTGCGCGCTCCGACGTCTCTGTGGCCCAGTCAGGAATTTGGGGACGAGGCCATTTCACCAAGATTGATTGATTTGATTCCGACGTTTAAACAAGAGAAATAACTTACCTGTGCAACATCTATTAAAATATGTTGTTTTGTAATATTCCATTATGTTTTAAAAATTTCGTCGGCACTGCATAGCAATTCGGTAAATGTGATCGTAACACATCAAGACTAAGTTTGAACGATCTTAAATATAAAAACCGATTATCGGCTGAATACCGGCCTATAGGTCATAAATCAAAAGTAAGAAACTAAAAATTGACGATTGTCGATTATAACTTAATTAATTCGTACATCTATAACCATTTACAACTACACTTGTCACTTATGTAATTATCGAATGGGCTTAAGAGCACTGACATCGTTGTAAGCGCGTTCTGAATCAGGTCACTAATAATATGGGTGTCTAATACTTTTGCACAAGGTTATAATAAGCGCATGGTGAAGAAAAAACGCATCATTATACTTATACTTACAGGCGGCAATGGTCAAAGTCCAAAGATCATAAAGATGCCTTTTGTGTTCTTGAATATTGTCTTATTTGAATAGCGGCAGCTGCCGCATACCTATATATTTGCTAGCATGGTGGAAGGGATAATGCTTTCATTGGTTACTAGGCACACGACCTAGGCATTCCTCTAAATGGGGGAGGAAAGAAAATCCTTTACAATCTGTTTTTTTCCGTAGCTCGAGCCCAAATACAAGTTTTTATAAATAACTGCACGGTTCAATAGTTACGCCTGCAGAAAATTGAAAGAAATAAAATATCATTTTATTTCTTTCAATAATTCAGTAGAAAGAAAATAAATATTTATCTGCGTACTCTCTCTCTCTCTCTCTCTCTCCATTTTTATCTTATTATAATAGATTAAATCTTAAGGCTATTTGTAAAATAATAAATTTTTAGTATTTTTATATACAGAGACCTGTACGATATTCTAAATGAAAACGACGGTAGATATTTTGTGCTTTATCGTTGCTCCAGCAGGTATCGAGGTACCGCATATAACAAAAAAAGGGTGCGTAATGGTTTCTTCTTCCTGCCGCATTTCACAATCTGCATCTTTCTACTTAGACAGCATAGAATATTTATAATAAATATTCATAAATATTTAATGTTATTCATTTTTTTCAAATATTATTATTTAAATATTTTATACATATTTTAATTTACAGGATGTTGGAATTTAAATGTGTGTGCCAAAACTTTGAGAATGTGTATTTGAAAGATCGATGAACTGAGAAAAAAGTCCTGTGTAGAGGTATGTACGTTTTTGCTTCTTTTCGCCGGTCAGTTTCTCTCGTTTAAACGAGTGTATATTTCTGTAAAAGTAGCAAATGTCGGAGCGCGCAGCAAAAAAACTTTTCTAAGAAAATGTACACACAGCGACTGCGACCTTTCCTATCAAGTAATCTCCTCTAATTCACCATACATGCACCGTCCGAAGTTATGCAATTTTTGTTAAAGCTACGGCAAGAAAAGATTTGATTTTTAACTCAAAAGAATTAAAAAATCTCACCTAGCGGAAAAGAAAAGGGGTGTATCGAAAAATCAGGAATTTTAATTTAAATTATAATTTTAAATCTTATAGCTGATTTCCAGATAGCGCACAATATATTTACAGAATATTTACAACATATTTTTAATATTTATTTTTAATAGTTTATGAATATTTTGTGGCCTTAGATTGCGCAGATTATAGATATTTATTATGAATATTATGAAATTTTTATTGTATATTTTAATAGAAATGCTAAAAAGTACTTAATAAGACAACATAATCTAAGTAAATAAAAGTATTTCCTAAAAATATTTATCTACGTTTAAAACATAAATATATTACATAAAATATTTAGGCTATATTTTAGTTTTCAAATAAACGTTGCTATACCAGAATGCGCACTGGATTATGATTTGTGATACATAATTCAAAAATATATGCGATAAAATAAAGTTTTGCTGAAGATGGCTCAAATTTGAGCAGAAACGTACGAAATAGATTTGTATGATATTTCAAAAAATTAATAAAAATAAATATTTTTAAATATTTATTATAAAATATTCTGTACTGTCTGGACTGCAAATCATTCAATCATTAGAAATCATCTTCTCTTGCTCCGTTTTAACAAAAAAAGGATCAATATGATTAATTACTTGAAACTATGCTAAGCGTTAGATCTACACTGCCAAGCCGTATTCACTACAAAACCGAAAGCCTACATATTTCAGGTCCTGTACCACAATTGACCATAAAAACATAAAGGGAAGGAACTGGAAGGAACGTTAATGCTTCCTGGCACTATTCAAAGAGTCTAGCGCCTAGCTGGCCTAGAGCCTGGATTTTTCAACCAATCAGAAAAGTTTGTATCGTGTGGCGTCTCTAGCTGTTCCTACTTTTGTTGCCACGTCGCTTCTACGCATGCGCGCAACGCGATTTTGTCGCTAGGTAATGTCTCGCGTAGCGTATTCTGCGTATATTTTGTGACCACTCGTTCTCTGACGCTCTTGAGTAACGGATGTCTGGTGTTTTTTGTGATTATAGCTAATCCGAGTCTTTAAAAGTGAGGTTAAGCTTGTACGTGAGTGTACGTGATCGGTTGTACTTTGGATTTTTTATTGAAGACCTTCCGCTGTTTGGCTTCTTATTCGTATCAAACAAAAAGGCAATCCAAACCAAAAAAGAAAATGCCGAAGAAGTCAAATAAGATGTGGGGCAACGGCCGCAACAACCGAGGAAACGAAGTAGATAAGAGCTACTTCGGTAAGTCCCTTTTTCAGTTTTATATCCCGTATCACCCGTATGTATGATTTGGGAGTGCGCTCCATTTAACCTATGAGTTATCCTTATTTTTGTTCACTGAATGTTGAAGAAGAATTAAGTGATACGCACATCATGTGTAAAATTTAACACACTCTAGAACTCTCGCGTGCTTGTAACAATGCTCCATGTTTCGATACTTATGCCATACGATTTCCAGCAGTCGTTTACTTGCTTCTTTTACCACTCGTAAGGTCATTAAACTTCACTTACAGATAAGTTCGTTTGATCTTCAATTATACTTCGAGCCTCGTTCTCAAGATTACAATATGTAGTTATTTAGAGCTCTGGAAATCCTCTCATTTTTCTGGTCAATTATATGTTTATGCGTTTAAATTTTTTTGAGTATATTTATTTATCTATTAAGATATTTCTTCATAAGAAGATAAACAAAATACATTGAATAAAATGAAATTAAAAGTAACAGGTAAAACGAGTTTCTGAAGTACTGGTTATTATCTAATTTTCGCTCTTGCAATAGAAAAATTATTTATGTGTGATACTGGAGATTTTTTTATAATATTTAGCTCAATTGACGTTAAGGTTTGAGCCTTACTCGCAGTTCCTAACGCTAACAATATAATTGTGTTTTCTGTTAATCCTTGTAAATTAAATTAAGTAAAGGATACCAAGTCTTAATTTTATTTAATACTAATTTTATTTAATACTATTTTAATATCCCATGTAGATGTATAACGTGCATTTACCAGTCTTAATTTTTCTACTCCTTTTGATTTAAAAAATGATTAATAATCGGTTCTTTTCTGATCTTATTGAGCGAGATTAGTGAAATTGCACTGCGATGTGTATTTAATCTGTAAGAGGCATCTTCCTTGTACAAATTTGTTAAAATCTCTAATAGACCATTTGTCATAATCACAAAAGGTCTTGTTGCTTTTATGCGCAGAAAATCTACTATTTTCTTAACGATGAATTATATATTATTGATTAAGCATATTATCCGATAATGATGCAATTGATATATCTATGCAACCAGTTGGCAACTTTTTTCTTGAATAAGTTTCCCTGAGACAATGCCTGATAATAGTGTAAGACTTTGTGCCATCGATCTGCAAAGTGACAATAGTAATTGTTGAGACGATTTAAAAACTAGGAGATCTTTTTCTAGCAGTTTCTTAAACATTGAATACTATGCTTGAGCTTTCCATATGATACTATAAGGTTTCCTTTCGCTTTATCCTGAACTATTTTATTTAATGTTCATAAAATCGTGGAAAAAGGAGGAAAGGCGTAAAAGTAAAAAAATCGAAAAGACGTCAATTGCCCAGGCATCTGGTTCTACAATCTAAGACCAATATTTTGACATTTCGTATTAACACCCGTAGCAAATAAATCTATTTCTGGAAAACTAAAATCATTTGTAATTTCGTTGAAGGCATACTGAACTAATTCTCGTTCCGTATCCGGGTTCTTTAAACGAGATAATCTATCTACTACCGCGAATTTTGCTTTGACGTATATGTGTTCTTCGTGTAACCATACGTCGTTTTCTTCTGCACAGTGCCATATCTGCTTTTCTACTTTATTAAATCTTTGATATTTAATACCTCCCATTTTATTAATGTAAGCAATAGCCATGGTATATATTGCCCATTATCAATAAAACATTACACTTTCTAATTTTGGGTTCAAAAGATAACAACGCTAACCAGAAGATTGCCTTTAGCTCTAATAAATTTATATGCTCTTGTTTCTTCTTTTCCGTCTAGAAACCATGAATTTGTTGGGTATGTTAAGTTAGCACCCCAACTATAGTACTCAGGAGTTCTTATTAGAGTTCCCATTTCCTTTTGACGAGACGAAGAGTTCCCTATAGTGAATAACAAGAGTTCCGCTCAATAAACATTTTTTTTACATTTTTTAAAAAAGGGGTGCTAACTTTTTATCGAATTTCGAGGTGGAATAGTTCTGAGCGGCTTAATAGCTTCAATCTGCGATTGCCTAAAGTTCCTGATATGTAAAAAAAATTTTCCAATATTAAAAAAAAATTAAAAATTTTTGAAAAATTAATTTTTAGATACAATAGTTCTGATGATAATTCCTGTTTCTTTTTGACGATACGAAGAGTTCTTTATGATTTTTAATGACATATGCGCTTAATAATCATTTTTTAATAATTTTTTAAAAATGAGGTGCTAACTTTTTAACGAAATTCAAGGTCGCATAGTTCTGATCAGCTTAACAGAAGTATTTTGTGAATACTAGGGTTCTTGATACATAAAAAACATTTTTGAAGAATAATAAAGTTTAAAAAAAATAGTAGAAATCTTTGAAAATTTTTTTGATAGTATCGAGTAGTTCTGAGTAGCGTTTCTTACAGTTCTCGACGAGTTCTATCGAAAACTGTAAGGTGAAAAAGCGATTGGACC